CGGGCGGGAGGCGGGCGCCGGGCCAAGGCGGCCGGGCAGGGGCCGAGGGAGGCGGGCGGGGGCCGGGGCGCTCCTCGGGGGCCGCGCCGCTCTCTGGCGGGCGGAGGCGGCCGGCGCTGCCTGGCACAGGTGAGCCTCGCTGGGCTGGCTCGCCACGTGCGGGGCCGGGGAGGGGGCGTGGCGGGCGAGGGGGCGGTCTTTCGCGAGTCCCCGCCTCCCCTGCTGCAGGTGCGGGGTCGTGGGGGCTGCCGCCGCCCCAAATCAGCCCTCCATTTGAATGTCTTTGCCTCCCCAATCGCGTGTCTGGGCATCCCCAAATGCCCGGTGCGGAAATCACGATGGCGCGCCGGCCCAGATGCCCATCATCCGGCCTTGGGGGTGTTCCAGTTCATTCCAGTCTCCGGGAGTTCCGTAGGATTTCCTGCTTCTTGGCTGCGCCTCTTTCCCCGCAGGAAATCGCCTTGCGTTTGCGTTAGCAGCGACGGCCTTTTGACGGACTAGTTGGGCTTCGTTTTAAAAAGATCCTTGGAGCGCGTTTTCCTTTCCCGATGCTCTAGTCCAGTCTAGTGGGACCACCAAAATCTCAGTTTTTATTTCACCAGACCGTTTTTTCTCGCCATCTGGATAGACTGATGCTCCTTTCCACATTTTTTTCTTCTTTATATGCAATCTTATGTACTAGCACAAATATATGTATATAAAGTTTTCTATATAAGTTAAGAGTCGTAAGGCACTTTTTGAAGCTTTTCAAATTAGCTTCCGTTTCCTATTTTTGAAACAGGACTAAAAACAACAAAAACGGCATCTGTCTATCCCAGGTTCTTGGGAAGGATTCAGTAGGTGGATTAAAATGCCAAATCCAGTATAAACATCTGGCTGTGTGACCAACCAAAATAATAACAACTGATGGGATCACAAAATAAGCAAAGTAATAGCATATGAAGAAGGTTAGGGGCTTGGGACTTTAGGATTCAAACAGGTAAGCATCTGCCATATAACACCCGGGTCTTCACAATTGTTGATAAAAAGAGGGGGGGGAAAGTCTGGAGAATGGATGTGGCAGTCAGTACCTGGAGGCAGTAGAAGAGAAGGGAAAGAACTGGAGAAGATGACCAAATACAAAGGCCTGCAAATAGAAACAGAATGACAGTCGCAAAAGAAAACAAAGATAGGATCAATAATGATAAGCACCCTTGGTGCAGCCCCAAAACATCTGGATCACCGCTTGAGCACCATCAGCATTGACAAAATCTGCATCAGTCAGTTGCAAAAGGAAGCTTGATTTAGAACAGCTTTCACCCTGCAATGATATTTCCAACACCATCAAACAGCCACATCTGCCTATCCCAGGTCCTTGGGAAGGGCTCCATGGGTGGACAAAAATCCCAAATCCTGTGTCAACATCTGGCTGACTGCGTAACCAACCAAATATTTCCCTTTTAACTAATTTTTAAACTTGTAGTGTTATTTTTGTATTTTTATCTGATTGTTAGCCGCCCTGAGTCCGCAAGGAGAAGGGCGGGATATAAATTTAAATAAATAAATAAAATAAATAAAATAAATATAATTTATTAAATTGTATACCGCTGGACTATCAATGATTCCAGGTCATTTGTTAAACAGACCTGGGAATCTTTATTTAAAAAAACAACAAAAAAACGGATCCTATGGATAATGCAGAGAGAACTGAGGCTAAGTTGTTAACCCCAGCAATTAATTGCAAGCCCCCGTGGAACTAATTTGCCCTTGTTTTATGTCAAACTGTGATTTTTCTTTTGCAGCATAAGGCAAAACAGCTATAGAAGGAAGGGGGTTTTTTTTGGGGGGGGGAGGAAATTCTATATTTCCTTTAGGATCCAGCCAAGAGGCAGCACTTAGCTTAGCCTGGCTGATCTTGAAAAACGAAGCAGGATTTAGGAGAGTTTTGATGGGAGTTAGACGGAACTTCAGAGGTCATCTAGTCCAACCTTCCAGACATCTCAAGACATACAAAGAGACTGCGAAATAAAAAAGGCTTTGAGGAAGGAAAAAAAAAAGTCTACCAGTTTTGAGCTGTCACTGCTGGAACAGGCTAGTCTTGTCCTTGAAATCCCTAGAAAGTTGAGCTTGACTCAAAAAGGGGATTTTGTTTTCTGCTATATAATTAATAAGCATTTAATTGGATTTGGGAAGACGCTTTCAACTCGGCTGGGTCGGGACTGAGCAATCTGGGGTTCCCTGCACTGTGGGAAAACAAATAACCTGCTAGTACGTTGGATGATATCACCAATCTGAGAAATGAATTCACAGGGACTTCGGCTTGCTAAAGACGCATTAGAATTACAAGTAGCCCTTGAGCTGCGACTGTAAGGGAGCCTGCCCACTGCAGTTGTAACTTGTGATGGTTGTAAAGCAGGTCAGTCGCACAACCAACCTTTTTTTGTGGCCGTCGTTAAGCAAATCAATGGTCACTAAGGGAATCGAAGGTTTACTGTGGGTATGGCTTTGCTGAAAACTGCTGTGAAAAGTGCACTCACTTGACTGGGATGCTGCCCGATTGCAGAGCTCCTGAAGGGTGTGTTTGTGACTTCGCCAATGCTTCCCTATCTGAAAAGCCTGCCAGTGACTTGATTTTGACTCCCAGAATTCCCCAGCCAGCCTGCTTTGAGAGGTCTGGACTTCAGCTCCCAGAATTCCCCAGCCAGCCTGCTTTAAGAGGTCTGGAATGCTAGCTGGGGAATCCTGGCAGTTGAAGCCCACCCATCTTAACGTTCCCAAGATTGAAGACTCGGAAGGCTGGGTAAACCAGACAGGCTGCAAAGAGCATAGAGGTAGTCCTCAACTTACAACAGTTCATTTAGTGACTATTCAAAGTTACAACGGCACTGAAAAAAGTGAGTTATGGCCGTTTTTCACACTTACGGCCATTGCAGCCTCCCCCGTGGTCACGTGATCACAATTCGAACACTTGGCAACTGACTCATACCTATGACAGTCGCACTGTCCGGAGGGGGTCACGCGATCCCCTTCTGTGACCATCTGACAATCAAAGTCCACGGGGAGAGACAGGTTCCCTTAACAACCATGGAAACGTCAGGCTCAACTGTAAGTCGAGAACTACCTCTATTGCAAAGATCCGTACCTTTAAAACAAAAACAAAAATTCCCCACTAAAAAAAAAAACAGCAGCAAAACCCTGCCCAGCATTGAAATCTATTTGATTGGAATGAAACCTGCAAACAAATCTCCTCTCCTCAAAGCACGTGACGTGCGAAGACAGAAAGCAGGAGAATAAAAACCTGTAGGAGAATTTTTCCGCACGAAATCACCCTCCGCACGCTGCCCAGGAAGAGCCACGAAGTTGCAAAGAAACAAGTCGGGAGAATTAAATTTGTCTGAACGTGCATCCCAGCCCAAACCTGTTCGGTTATAATCTTGCCGGTCGGTTACCAGGTTGCACGAAAGGAACTGGCGGAAACAGCCCGGAGGACATCTGTCTCCCCATTGCGCAAAAGCCAGCCTTCTCCCAAGCGAGCAAAAACAACCCACAGCAGGAGGAACAACAAGACGGGGTTGGAAGGAAGGAAGGAAGGAAGGAAGGAAGGAAGGCGGAGGAAGAGAAGGGAGGAACAGCAGCTGCAGTGTCTCTCCTCTTTTGCCAAAGAGAAGGGTCCACTTTTCCTCTGGCTGTAACGCTAACATTGCACGGATGGAGGTTGATTTCACGTTTATGTTCTGGTTTGCTGCGCAGTCAGCCAGATGTTCCCACTGGATTTGGCCTTTTTGTCCTTCCCAAAGGCCTGACATAGGCAGAAGCTGAACGTTTGTGGGGGTTAGAAGGTCTCGCAGCAGGATGTCAGCTGTTCCATCTTTTGCAATTGACAGGTGCTGAAGTTGTCAATGCCGACAGGGTTGAAGTGGTGCTCCAGTTGTTTTTGGGGTTGCACCCGAGGTGCCTATTACTTATCGTTATTATTTGTTAAATTTATTTGCTCGTTCTCTCACCTTGGGGCTTACAAGAATAAAAAAGGAGAAATGAAAAGAAGTGTAAACATAGCAATAGTAAAAGACAGGGAGTCCTTGACTTACCTTGACTCACGGTCACGTTTAGTGACCGTTCGAAGTTGCAACAGCACAAAAAGGGACATGACCGTTTTTCAGATTTACGACCGTTGCTGCGTT